CCAAAATTAAACCCAGACTCAAGAGGTAGGTTCGGAGCCACGACTGTCCTTCTAAAAGAAGGTGCTACAGTGGCACTGGCTTCTTAGTACAGGAAGGGCACTTTGCCTCTTTCTTCCCGGTTCTGGTGAGTTTTTCTTCCTAGACTCCCTTCTTGGTCCATTTTCTAGCAGATGCTACATGGGGAATATGGGGAAATGTCCTCTAACTCTTGATTCATGGGAATACTTCAGTCTTCAGGGCTTGGAGAGCTACTAAAACCAGTGGGGCGTATGCATATGTGCGTGTACGTATGTGTATGGTTTGGGAACAAGCGACTTCTGCTTCGTAATGAAAAAATAAAAGCTTGAAAGGGATTTGTTAAATCAACTGAAATGGGCCTCTGGGATCTCTGTCTCTCTTATGCACAAACCCTCTCCCATTGTACAAATGAATCAGGACCACATGTATCCAATTTCACTCAGAAACTGTGTGGCTTATAAAATCCAGAGAGGAAAATCACCAAGGGCCAAGTTTGTTTTCATGTCTGTCCACAGGATCCTAGTGGCTTGTTCTGGCCTCTCCACCTCCTGGGGAGTTGGGATGTGTGCCTGTCTGGGGGCAGGAGCAGGGGGAGGAGGAGGGACAGTAATTCTCATCATGCATTTCTTGAGCTCAGACCAGGTGAGCTCCTGAAAAAACTGCAACTGGAGGGTGTGGGTTCTGATTTCTAGACAGGAAGATTCAGCCTGGAGAATGGAGGGAACAAATGTTTGCATCCTCGATGAAGGGGCTCAGTGAAGATGGTAGAGTATCTTTGTCCTCCTTTCTGTCTCTCCCGGTCTTTCTCTTAGGGCCTGATGACCAAGGTAGTGTACAGGGTGGGGCTGGCCTAGAAAACAGCCCATTGGAAGAAAGCCTGGGGTCTGACAGATATGCATTGGGTGTGGGGAATCTTTGAAAAACCCAAGCTCAGCCCACACTTGGTCCTCTGAGGACTGCAAGGTGATGATACTGCAAGTTACCTGTGATATCATAAAAGTACATATCTGGTCTTTGCCCAGGTTCCTAGCAATGTGTTCCTAAAACCCATGGAATCTCCTGAGTGATGAGTGTCTTTTGCTTGCTCACTGGATGACTCTAGTTGGGTTGGCAGTCGAGTAGGGAGGGGGACTAGATAGCTTCAGGATGAGAGTAGATGGCTAAAAAGACCCAGACAGGAGCATCAAGTTAGAACTGAAAGTTCTATCCTGATGACCTCCAGGGAGGAGAGAGAGGCTGATAATTAAACCCACTCATCAATACCCAATGATTTCATCAACCATCCCTAGATAACGAAGTGTCCATCAAAAACCATAATCCATAGGGTTTGGAGAGCATCTAGATTGGTGAACAAAGTGATGTGCTCAGAAGGTGGTGTACTTGAGGAAGTATGGAATTCCTGCCACCCACCCCTCCCCCCAAAACTTTCCCAATGTATCTCTTTCATTTGGCTGTTCCTGAGTTGCATCCTTTATAATAAATAGGTAAGCACAAATAAAGGCTTACCCTGTGGCTCAGTGGTCTAGAATCTGCCTGCAATGTAGGAGACTTGAGTTCAATCCCTTGGTTGGGAAGATCCCCTGGAGGAGGATATGGCAACCCACTCCAGTGTTCTTGCCTGGAGAATCCCAAGGACAGAGGAGCCTGGTGGGCTACTGTCCATAGGGGTTGCAAAGAGTCTGACACGACTGAAGTGACTGAGCACACACACAAACACAAATAAAGTGTTTTTATGCGTTCTGTGGGTCATTCTACAGAATTATTGCACCTGAGAGGAGGTTGTGAGAACCTCTGATTTATAGCCAGGCAGTCAGAAGTATGGGTGGCCCCCAGGACTTGTGATTGGCATCTGAAGTAGAGGCAGTCTTGTGTGACTAAATCCTTAGAACTGCGGGGTCTGATGTTATCTCCAGGCAGGCAGTGTCAGAACAGGATGAACTGGAGGACACCCAGCTGGTGTCAGAACTGCAGAATTAGTGGCAGGTTGGAAAAACACACATTTTGTGTCTGAAAAAAGACACCGCATTGCAAACTAATATGTATATTTGTTCCAATAAATCATTTAAGAAATATTTATTGAGCTTACCAAGTCAGCATTGGAGATAGAGTCATAATCAGGCAGATGGATCCCTGTCTCAGAGAATTTAGGGGTTGGTTGTCATACTTTCCAAGTTAGACTCCTTGAAAGGCAGGGTCAATATCTTATCTTCTTCTTTATTTCCTGTAGTACCTAGTTCAAGGCTGGGAACATACTGGGTGCTTGATTCACTCTTATGCATTGCTTAAATTGTGAGCTCCCTGAAAACAGAAATAGTGCTATTTTACAGCTACATGATCCTGAGCAAGCTACTTCTCATCTTGTGCCTCAGTTTCCTCCTCTGCAAAATAGGAATAATAATACTGATAAGATCTACATCTTAGGGTTTTTGTGAGAATTAAGCATGTTAACTAATAAATGCAAAATGCTTAGGGCAGTGCCTGGTCCACAAGAAGCTCGGAATGAGTGCTGTCTTCTGTTATTCCCTCCTTTTTCTTACTCCAGGGTGCTAGAAACAAGCCACAGTGAAGCAAGGACTCTCTCTCTGATGTTATTTTCACTGACTTTCAGGGGGAGGTTGGGAGCTAGTGCAATGGGCAGGGGTCTGCCTGGGTCTTTTCTTGGTCTGCAGGGACTGTAGGGGGTGGCTAACTCATGCCACACGGCGAAGGGTCTCTGCCACCCAGAGAGAAAAAAAGCACGCTCTCAGTTCAGTCTCCAAGTGTTCAGACATCCTGCCCTGAGCAAAGCTTCTGACCTGGGGGAGAGAAACCTTGATGATCATCTTCCCCTGTAACCTGCATCCTGGTTTCTCAAGCCCTATTCCAGGAGCTCCCAAACTGAAGGCTAGACAGATCATGCAGCCTGCCCCCAAATCACACAGTATACAGTGACTCCTTCTGGGCACAGGTGCAGGTCTCCTATTTCCTGGAAAATTGCCGAAGCCAAAAGCCAAACTGCTTCTCCCCTCTCTGGGAGAACACAGAGTGTCCTGGCAGCTTCACTGTCTCTCTTTTCCCAGCTGCTTCGGTGCCTGGGTTCTCTGAATGGTTTAAGGATCTCTGACAGAGTTTGACACTTGAAGAAAAGAATTAATTGGCTTCATGATGGCAAAAGAAAATGGTAAAATCAAATAAATTTTTGATTACATGTCTATAAAACATGTCAACTAGCCAATCAGTCAGTCAGTTCAGTCGCTCAGTCATGTCCGACACTTTGCGACCCCATGGATTGCAGCACGCCGGGCTTCCCTGTCTATCACCAACTCCCGGAGCTTACTCAAACCCATGTCCGTCGAGTTGGTGATGCCATCCAACTATCCAAGTAGCCCCTAACTCCTGGATATGTGTGTGTGCTAAGTCACTTTAGTCGTCTCTGACTCTTTGTGACCCTATGGACCCTATGGGCCCTATGGACCCTATGTGATCCTATGGACCCTATGGACCCTATGTGACCCTATGGAGCCCGCAGGCTCCTCTGTCCATGGGATTCTCCAGGCAAAAATATTGGAGTTGGTTGCCATGCCCTCTTCCAGGAGATTTTCCCAACCCAGGGATGGAACTTGTCTCTTACATCTCCTGCATTGGCAGGTGGGTTCTTTACCACCAGTACCATCTGGGAAGTCTACTTAACTCCTAGTTATAACTAAACTATAATTAATGTAAAATGTGTATGCAGTTTAAGATGACTGATACTCTGTGCAGCCCCCAATATCATACTGAGTATCAGTCATAGAGTGACCACGAGGGACAGGAAACAGGGAGCTCCCAGGAGCTCTGCTCCTGACTCAGCGGCTCCTGAACCAAGCAGGAGAAATCTAGTTCATGGCCCACCCTCTCCATCAAACTTGAAATAACTCCCCATTTTTTGTTTTCCTGGACAACAGATCCATGGGTAACTCAAAACGAAGGCCAAGCCAGATATCACTTGGGGTTGGCTTAGGGCAGCATCACAACCAATACCACTGGGCTGGACATCCAACTTTTTGGGCTCAGTTCACCTGTCAATGATCTGGGGTATCCCTAGGGTCCCAGGGGGCTACCCACGTGGCTCAGTGGTAAAGCATCTGCTTCCCAATGTAGGAGCTGCAGGAGACCTGGCTTGGGTCTCTGGGTCACGAAGATCCCCTGGAGGAGGGCATGGCAACCCACTCCAGTATTCTTGCCTGGAGGATCCCATGGGCTGAGAAGCCGGGCGGGCTGCAGTCCATAGGCTCGCACAGAGTCAGACACGAATGAAGTGACTGAGCATGCATGTACACCCCTGGGGTAGTGGATAGTCCACATTTATTCAACAAATCCTCGTGCCAGCCATCACGTTCAACGCAGGGCGTGGAGAAGTGAGCAAAACAGACCCCCTTCTCTCATGGAGCTTAGTGTCTAATGGAAAACAACTGCCAATTTGTGACATAACCTTTTCTCATTTGATTCTTGAGAAAGCAGTCAGGACAGACGTTAGGTTGGTTTTATCACCAGTATAAGCTGAGAAAACTGGCATTCTGAGAAGCCCATCAAGGTATTTATGGTGCCCGGACAGAGCCCAGACTGAATCTTCAGGGGCTGTTTCCAGAAGCTCTTTTCCCTTAGTGCCCAGGCCAGTGACGGCCACAGGGCAGCCACACAGCCAAGAAGCAGCTGCAGGCTGCTAGCTTTGGGACTGCCTTTGGGGCTGAGCCCGGTGACACCCTGCATCCGGCAGAGGGCTTGTCTAGCTGACCCACCGCGCACCTCAGCGCGCTCTCTGGGCTTCTGATGCTATCTGGAACCAATTAGCTATTTCTTTCAGCCAATTCATTATGTTCCCTTTGAACCAAGCTTCCTTTTCCCAGAGTAAAGCTGCCTTGGAATTTGTTTGAATGTTGCGGGCAAAATATGCTGGCGGGCTCGCATTTCGGAGCCAGCTCCTTGCGCCTCCGCGCTGCCACGGCGCCCTCGGCGAGGATGGATGGGTTCAGGCCGCGGTTCCGTCCCGGTGCCCGTCCCCGGAGCAGCGGCCCTGCCGCTCCCGTCTTCCGAGGTGCTAAATCACCCCTCCGCTCCCGCCCCCGGGGGGGGGGGGCGGCCGGCTATCTCCTGCATCAAAGTGTCCCGCGTGCTCCATCAGGCTCTCGGCTCTGCAGCAAGTCCTTCAGACTCTGGCTTCAGTCGCTCCCGAGCCGCCCTTCAATCATCCCCCAGCGCCGGTTTAGCGCGGCTCTAACCCTCCCCACGGGCTCTGTCACCGCCCGCCCCCCACCCAGCACCCTGCCCTGATCCTGTCATCTCTTCCATCGTCCCCGTCCCTGCCGCAGCCACTCCAGATGAACGTCGACTTCCTGCTGTCACTCCCGCCGGTCTCGTCCGGACCCGCCCTCTCTCACAGCAGATCTTGCCACCCAGGGTGCTTGACTGGCCCATCCTTGCCACTCCGAGTGAGGACAGGAGGTCAGGGTAGCGGTAAGGTGGAGGGGTGGGAGGGGTTCTCGCCTCCTTTCAGCTCCAGCCTATCCTCCGGTGCTGGGCAAGATGGGGTTGAGTGCACCAAAGGAAGCTGGGAAAATCCCCAGGAGCCTGGGGCCACTGTGACCCACCGCTCCTCCCAACCTCTCCCCAGCCTCAAAGAGTCAAAACCCAGTGTGGTTTCACTCTAGGACGCTCTCTCCTGATCCATTCAGTAGTCTCAGCTTGGGGCTGCACCATCTGGCCTTGGGAGGAACAGAGCAATCTTAACTTACCAGGCCAGCACCGCCACAAGATGGCGGCCAGGGACCCCAACCTACCTCCGGTTGCTATGGCAACCAAAAGGCAGCCCCCACCAATGCAGAGGGTAGGGGGTTGGAGAGTGAAGTGTGGGAGGCGGCACTTGACCACTCTGACTCTCTGTGTCGTGGCTTCCTCCCCCACCTCGGAAGTGGTCTTCTAGCAGCACAAGCAGGCAGGTGCCCTGCAGGGGAGTGGATTGGGTGCTGAAGGATGCTGCCTAGTGGCAGAACTGGCAAGCAAGCCAGTAGAGAGGTACCACTGCAAATTCAGCCTATCATCCCCGGGATTTGGGGGGCCCTGTGGGATGTGGAGCACAGAAATAGAAAAATTATTCTCTAAGTCCAAACCCGTGATACATCTGTCTGGCCAGAGCTTGCCTGTGACAGTTTTTCCTAGACCACTTCACGGGAAAGGCTTTACCCTGGAACCTATCAGCCTCGGAGTTATGTTCCAACGCCTGCCTGCTGCTTCCCTACCAGCCCACTGAGAGCTAGCATTCATGAGTGTCCTAAACCCTCCCCTAACCGACTTACATTTTCAGACTGTGACATCTCTTAGAGAAATAAGTTCCCTGAATGTATTCCCAGCTGCTCCGAGGAGCATTCCCCCCTGGTCTGCCCTGTAACCAACTGACATAGGTGTTAAAAGAATCTCCTAGGCTCAGTATTTGGGGATTTGGTGAACTACTCTTCATTCAACCCTTCCAAGCCTCATGATATTATATACTTTAATTTCAAAGGTGAATATTTTGAAGTGCCTGCCGTGTTCCAGGTGACTTTAAAATATTACCTCACTTATTCCTCAAGACCTTACAAGGTAGCAATTATAATCCTCATTTCAAAGATGAGAAAATCAACTCAGAGACAAGAGTCGACTTGTCCACCAGTTAGCACAAGGCATAAGTGGATTGGAACAGGTCTGACGACACAGTCAGCATTTTCCCATGAGGACCCAGCTACTTTTGAGCCCATTGGTCCTGGAAGGGTGAATATAAATTAAACAAAGAGGTTTAATTCTCTTAAGGGAAATAAGAAGGAGACATCTTTCCCCCTCCCTTTTATTTCAGAATTTCTTTTCTGTCCTTTTCAAATGTACATAAATCTTTATAATGGTTAAGCAAGTTTCTAACCAGTTTCACAATGCAGGTATTTCCTCAGAGACAGAAGACTGTCTCTTTTTTTTTTTTAACTTTTTATTTTGTATTGTTGTCTAGCCAATTAACAATATTGTGATAGTTTTAGGTAAACAGCATGTATTCATTCTCCCCCAAATTCCCCTCCCATCCAGGCTGCCACATGACACTGAGCAGAGTTCCCTGTGCTCTAAGTAGGTCCTTATTGGTTATGCATTTAAAATATAGCAGTGTGCACATGTCCATCCCCAAATCCCTAACTGTCCCTTCCCCCACATCCTTCCCCCCAGCGACCCTAAGTTTGTTTTCTAGGTCTGTGAGTCTCTTTCTGTTTTGTAAGTTCATTTGTATCATTTCTTCTTAGATTCCACATATAAGGGATGTTGTACAATATTTCTCCTTTTCTGTCTGACTTACTTCAGTCAGTATGACACTCTCTAGGCTCATCCATGTTGCTGCAAATGGCATTATTTCATTTTTTAATGTCTGAGTTGTGTATATGTACTACACCTTCTTTATCCATTCCTCTGTCAATGAACATTTAGATTGCTTCCATGTCTTGGCTATTGTAGATAGTGCTGCAGTGAACATTGGGGTGCACGTATCCTTTCGGCTATGTTTTTCTTAGGATGTACGCCCAGGCGTGGGATTGCAGGGTCATATGGTAGCTCCATTTTTAGTTTTTTAAGGAACCTCCATGCTGTTCTCCATAGTGGAGGAATCAATGTATATTCTCACTGACAGTGTAGAAGGGTTCCCTTCTCTCCACATCCTCTCCGGCATTTATTCTGGATTTTTTGATGACAGCCATTCTGGCTGGTATGAGGTGATATCTCATTGTACTTTTGATGTGTATTTCTCTAATAATTACTTCCCTGGTGGCTTAGACGGTAAAGTGTCTGCCTACAATGCGGGAGACCCAGGTTTGATCCCTGGGTCAGGAAGATCCTCTGGAGAAGGAAATGGCAACCTACTCCAGTATTCTGGCCTGGAGAATCCCCTGGATGGAGGAGACTGGTTGGCTATAGTCCATGGGGTCTCAAAGAATCGGACACAACTGAGGGACTTCACTTTTACTTTCTTTTCTCTAATAACTAGCGATGCTTAACATCTCTTCAGATGCCACTTAGCCATCTGTATGAAGACCATCTTTTTGAAAGTGAAAGTGAAGTCGCTCAGTCATGTCTGACTCTTTGCGACCCCATGAACTGTAGCCTACCAGGCTTCTCCGTCCATGGGATTTTCCAGGCAAGAGTACTGGAGTGGCTTCTCCAGGGGATCTTCCTGAGACCCAGATCTCCCACACTGTAAGCAGACCCTTTACCGTCTGAGCCACCAGGGAAACTACTTTTTGAAATGCAAACAATCCGGGAGATGGTGCCCTCCCTCCCAGCTCCCCTGAGAAGGTAGGAGCCAAACTCTGGTGGGAGCCTTCCTCCCACTGGCAAAACTTCCTCCTATCATAGCTTATCAGAAGTTTGTTTTTCCTCTGGATAAAGCCAGTAAGCTAACACAGATGTCACCCCAGTTGCCATATACAAGTAGGATGAACTATGTGTGACAAATGCTGCTGACAAGAACTTTCAGGTAAGGACTAGTTCTTGCTTATCTTGATTTACAAACAATGGCTGTGTCTGTAATGGATTAGATCTGCCTGACTATTGAAGAGGGGCCCGAATATGCCACCCCAAAATATGTCTTTTTGGCATAGGGATCATTTTTGAGCTGAAAGCCTTCGAGGAAAAACAGATGCAGGAAAAGCTCTAAAAGCAGAGCACAGGTTTCCCTTTTGTCAAGGAAATTTCCATTTGTAAAAATGTCTCCCTCACACTGGTAGCAGGAAGAGGAGACTCTTGACAGCTCTTATCAAAGGAGGAAGCTTAAATCTGCATAACACATCTTACTAAACTTGTCACTTTCCCATAAGTTTCACCTCCACTCCCCCAAACCCAAACTGTTTTTTCTTTGTCTAGCCTCAGATAATATGCCTGCCTGCCTGCTAAGTTGCTTCGGTCGCGGCCAGCTCTTTGCTACCCTATGGACCGTAGCCCACCAGGCTTCTCTGTGCATGGAATTCTTTAGGCAAAAACACTGGAGTGGGTTGCCATGCCCTCCTCCAGGGGATCTTCCTGACCCAGGGATCAAACCCTCGTCTCTTATGTTTCCTGCATTGGCAGGGGGTTCTTTACCAAAATAGCGCCACCTGGGAAGCCCCTCAGATAATATATAAGCCCCTTATTTGGGCTTTCCTGGTGGCTCAATGATAAAGAATCCACCTGCCAAGCAGGAGACATGGGTTCGATTGAAACAACAACAAATTTTGGTTGCCTCTTTGAGCCACACTGTGTTGGTGAGTTTCTGTGTGTGTATACATAATAAAATTTTTTTTTCTCTTGTTAATCTGTCTTTTATCAGTTTGATTTTCAGGCCCCAGGCACTGAAGCTAGGGGGGTAGAGGGAAGGAGGGTTTTCTTCCCTCCTCTGTGTAAGGGGGTGAGATTTTATTCTGTCTTCGCCATCTCCAATGACACATCGCATCTGGTTTAATGCTCATTCCACAAGAAAACTGTTTTCTGTCTCTCTGTCTCTACTACCTTTGTGCTAAGATTTTCTGGGTCAGGAGAAGGTCTCTTTTTCTAGTTCTACTTCCCAACACCCACCTTGCCTTGTCTTGCCTTTCCAATCATGGATTTCTGTCGTTTGACTCCATCCTTTTCACTCCTGACTCCGCTAAGACTCCAGACTCCGGCTGACCCCCAGTATCTCATTCTGTGGGGTGTGGCCTCTGATCTGAATTAAGCCTTGCTGCTGTGTTACCAGGTGGCCCACCTGCCAATGCAGGAGATATAAGAGACTCAGCTTCCATCCCTGGGTTGGGACGACCCTAGAGGGCACAGCAACCATCTCCAGTTTTCTCGCCTGGAGAATCCATCAACAGAGAACCTGGTGGGCTGCAGTCCACAGGGTCACAAAGAGTCGGACACGATTGAAGCAACTTAGCCCGCACGCATGTTGTGTTAATGGGTGTCAGACCACAGCTAAGGGTGAGCTTTCTGGGCCTTCTTGGGGAAAGTTAGGCCATCCCACAGTTTAATGGCAGTTTCAGCAGCTATAGTTTTAGCCCCAAAACTGTCCCCACTGATGTTGCTTAAAAACCTTTGAGGTTTAGGAGGTAAAGTCACAGCTTAGTCATGTGTGGACCTCATAGGCTGTGTCAAGCCCACATTTTCTGCCATACCATCTGCTGCTCTTCCAGTTTTATCTCCCCCCATAGGTCCTCTTAAGGATGCATTCACCAAACATGACCTCATTCTTCCCTCTGGCCT